ATGGTATTTGAGGCCTAGGACCAAATATCAGGCACATGTCTGGGGTAGACAATGTCACCTGGGCTTGCAGGCTGTGGCATCTGCCACAGGGTGAGTGGTCCCAGGGGTTCCTAGAATGTCCACATCCCTTTCTAAGGCCTCCTAGCTTACTCAGACGAGTTACTGCTCACTGCATGAGGGTCCCGGGATTCAGGGCATCAGGACTCCCCCTGGACTCTGCCGTTACCAGGTTGTGTGGCCATGGACAAGTCACTTCCCTTTTCTGAGCCTTGACTTCCTCCTTGATAAAATGAAGAAATTGTTTGTCCTAAAAGACTTGAATTCTAATCCCTGCTCCTTCTTCCTCAGTCTTCACAGTCTAGGAGCCTTGAGCTCTTATCTTCTGGTCTCAGAAACCAGACAGAGATGTGTGTCCAACACAACTATCCAGGGCCTCCTCCACCCCTGACATGACAGATGCTGTTTCAATCCACCACTGCTTCAGGATCTGGTGGTCTTGCCTACCCAGCATCTGTCCATCCTTCCTCTGGACATAGGACCCTGATTTTCCTTTAGGGTAGGGATGAGTAGAACCTAGACCTAGCCAATGTGAATGACTCCTGGGATTTTTAGTGAAGCTGTTGGAAAACAGAAGTCAGCTTTCCCCTGGCATTGCTAGCTGTCAGGATAGCGTAAACCTGGAGCTACTGGTAGGTGCCTTGTCACCTGGAAAGGGTAGGCTGCATAAGGGCAAAGAATATATAAAGAAGAATCAGAGTTGAGAGAGTTTCTGGGGCTTGATGACATCTTTTGAACACCTGGATCTTGGTGTTCCTGAAGGCGTATCTAGCAGGGACTTTTCAATTAAATAAGTCAGTAAATTCCTTTCAGTCTTTTTCCCTTCCTCTGTTTACTTATTTATTGCCCAAATCTTTTTTGAGATGGTTTTCTCTTACTTTTTGAGAAAGAATCCTATCCTTGAATATTGTTTATCTTTGAGAAATTATTTCTCATGTCTCTTCTTTTTCTTAGCAAACTCCTACACATCCTTTAGGATCCACCCAAACATCACCTCCCCTGTGACCTTTCCCATGTGCCCCTCAGCAGAATTAGAAGTTCCTGCCTCTGGGCTCTCGTGGCAGCCTGTACGTTCCTCCAATAAAACACTTACTGCATTATATCAAGCTTTGGCATACTTATCTGTTCAGATGCCCGTGTTTAAATGCTTGTTTGTCTTTGAACCCCCAGTGTCTGGATCAGGGGCTGGCACACAGTGTGTGTTCAATAAATGACAGAATGAAAGAATATATATAACCTGAATCCTTCTGCTGTGGCATCAGCCCTCTTTTTGGTTACTCAGAAGAAATCGAAACCAACTTGTCCCTCTGCTCTATGCGGAGTAGTTAGTTTCATCAGCTGCAAGGTAGTGTGATGTATTTACTGAGCTAAGTAAATGCTGAAAAACAATTCCAATTTTAATGCTGAACTCTCAGTGATTTTATGCACTTACCCTATCTTGTGATTCATCCCTCTTACCCTTATGCTGGAGGCCACAGCGTGCAGTGGACTGGGAGGGAGGAGCCCTCAGCTCTAATCTCCAGTTTCTTCTATGAATCTGTGGAGTCTCCTTATCTTCATAATGAAGGGCTGGACCAGATGAGGAGTTGAAACTTCCAAGGCCCACAAGGGCTATCGTGACAGCTTGGCCTCAGTGGCCACTCAGCCCAGCTTGTTACAGCCATGCAGGAAAACAGGCTCAGGGTTGCCAGATGTTTCAATTTAAGAGAATCTGGGAGTGTAGGTTTTTATATAAAATGTGTGCTTTTAAAAAATATTATGTGGGCCTAGGCTGTAAAGAATCAGGGACTCTCATCCATTGCTGGTGGAAATGCAAAGGATTTAACCCCATTAGTGGGGAATTTGGCAATATCTTTCAAAACCAAAGAGTGTCTACACTTTGATCCAGCAAATCCTACTTCTAGGAATTGCCCCTGAAGTTTCACTTCCACACTACAGAACAAGACACACACAAGGTTATTCATTACGGCATTATTTTAATAGCCCAAAATTGAAAACAACTCCAAACATTCACCCATAGAGAACTGTTTGAACTCTGGTTTATTCACACCATGGAGTACTTTGCAACTGGGAAAAAGAATGGGATAATTTCTATGTCTCTCTCTGGAGTGATCTCCAGGATCATTCACATGAAAAAAGCAAAGTGTAGCCCGGTGTATAGAAAAGTGCTCTTCGGACTTGAATCACCCAACTGAGGACAGAGGCATTTGCAAGGCCCACTGCATTGGCTCTCTCCTCGCTCTCTCTGCAGCTGGGGTTATGGGGCAGTAGAGCCCCCAAAGTGTGCGTGTGTGTGTGTGTGTGTGTTTGAGCCTGTGCATTCCCGCCTCCCACAGTAAGTGGCAGGGACTTGTTTACTGCAGAGCTCCTACAGTGACAAGCACTGCCCAGAGGGCCATTGGCAAACCCAAAGTCCCGTTCGAATAGCCTAGGAGAGTCATGCTAGTGTAACTTTGCAGAAAGAGTGCTGACTTGGATTCCAATAGTGTTATGTTCTAATACCAGATCTGCCCCTAACAGCCCCGAGGACCTTTCTCCTTCCTCCCACCTAATACAGTTGCTATTTGTGTGTTCATTTCTATAATCCCTTTTCCACCACTAGACCGTGAGCCCTGTGAGACTGTGATCCATCTGTTTGCCACCACTGAATCTCTAGCACTTGCTATAGTGCCTGGCACATAGTAGGTTCTCAATAAATGTCTGTTGAATGAATGATTAAAATGAATAAATAGATGATGTCATAAAGGACTTAGTATAGTGCCTACGCCTGATTCGTGTTCAATTACAGGTAGTAGTAGTTTACTTAATGTTAGGGCGGTAGTGATTACAAGTTGTATGACCTTAGGCAAATTAATGAAATCCCTGTGCCCTGCTTCCCTCATCTGTATTAGGGATGCAACAATACCTATTTCCAGGTGTTGTTGTGAATATTAATGAGATAACATATGCAAATCATTCAGTGTATGTCTTGGCACATAAAAGATAGTAAGTGGTGGTTATTCCTAGAGAGAAACAGTATAAAATAAATAAACAGAAGAAACAGGAAAATCCCTTGATTAATGTTGCAATGTGAAGAAAAATGCATGAAAATTCTCTCTCCGCGCCTTCCACTGTCCCCTTAGGGTAGCCATCCATTCTTCAACAAGTGAGCAGATACTATGTGCTGGGCACCATGCCAACTGCCAAGAGTAGCATCAAAAAATGACCCATTAATGAAGGAGTTTCTTTGGGGGGTGGTGAAAATGTTCTAAAATTGATTGTGTTGGTGGTTGCACACAACTCTGTGAATATACTAAAAACCATTGAGTTGTACACTTTAAGTGGGTGAATGAATTTTATGACGTGAATTATATCTCAATAAAGCTGTTATAAAAAAATGAGAAGGGGCCAGCCTGGTGGCACAGTGGTTAAGTTCGCATGCTCTGCTTAGGGGGCCCAGGTTCACAGGTTTGGATCCTTGGTGCAGACCTACACCACTCATCAAGCCATGCTGTGGTGGTGACCCACATACAAAATAGAGGAAGATTGGCACAGATGTTAGCTCAGGGCCAGTCTTCCTTGCCAAAAAAAAAGAGAGCGAGAGAGAGAAATGAACAATAGATCTGAGTCTACCACTTCCTACTTGTGTGACTTTGGGCACACAAAGTGACTTCCTATCTCTGCTTCAGTTTTCTCTTCAGGAAAATAGGAAAACTAGTAGAACCTACCTCACAGAGTTTTCATGAGGACTAAAAGAGATAATGTTTTTAAGGTGCTAGCTTAGAGTTTGGTATGTAATAAGGGCTCCATAAATGCCAGCTAACATTATCACCATCATCTTTATTAATATATAAGTGCTAAAACAGAAATTACATAAGCGCTATGAGAAAAGGAGAAAGGGGCTCTTAGCTCCACTGGATGGAGGAGGAAGGAGTCAGGGAAGACATGAAGGAGGAGGAGATGACATGGAAGCTGAGCAAGAATTCCTCTGACAGAAAGATGTGAAGGGTAGCCCTGGAAGGGGGAATGGCATGGGGGTGAGAGACAACTTGGTTAAGGCAAGGAACTAAGTTTTGCACAAAGTACAAGGCCAGAAACAAACTTTATTGTGAAAACAACAGGGAGACCACCAGCAGGAAGCAACATGGCAAGTCTGCATACCAGAATAGTCCCTACAATGGGGAGGGTGAATGTGAAGGGATGCAGGACCAAAGTGGCGGAGGAGCTAGGAGCCTATTGCGGTAATTCAGGCGAGAGACGATAAAGGCTTTCGCTTGGATTTGAGATTACGGTATCAAGGCCAGGGGCTCCTTTGGTCCTAAGGGACAGAGACTCACTCCCAACTCCGGGGAAAAGGTAGATAGCAGGAAGCCTCAGAGAAGCCCCAGAGCGGGGATCCAGGCAGGCATCCCAGAAACCAGGATTGGAACTGGGAAACCTCATCTCTAAGCTTTCTCTCTCAGCATCTCTGCTCCTTGCACCTCTGCTCCGTTGTCTTCTGTTGACCGTTGCACTTCCTGGGTTACTCACGGTTTCTGCTTTCCCGTAACTTCTCCTCGTGTGAGGGCCCAAGAACAATCTCCACCCTAACGCCGCCTGAACTTCCACCTTCCGGGATCACCACCAGCTGCCTTCTTCCCTCTGTGCCACTTGATTCCAATTTCCGAGACAGAGTCTGAGTGGCTCTGCTCATCCTTTTGATCCGGGTCAGGCAAATGCTAGGCCAAGGGCCAGGCCACGGATGAGGGTTGAGGCTGGTCCACAGCTAGGGAATTTGGCCATGTGAGGTAGCTGGGTTCTGATCAGGGAGTCTCCTTGCAGACCTGAAATATGTGTCATATAGTAGGCCAGAGGGGAAAGGATAAATTTAAAATTTATGACGCAATAAAATCAGCTTTATTAGGTAATTGTCTGAATGTGGGAGGTGAGTGGAGTGGAGGTAAGCATGACCGGCAGGGGCCGGCTCGGGTAACTGGATGATCTCTCAGCTGCGCTTTCCTCCATGTTGGTGCTGTTTCTTGGTTCTCAGGAAGCTTCACTTAATTCAGTCAGGGTCTCAGCAGAAAACGGATGGCTGTCTCACACTGGGAAACGTGAGGAGGGTTTAACAAGAGGACGGAGGAACATGGTATAAGGTAGCACAAGGGACAGTGCAGCACCCTGGGGCTAGAAACAGCGGTGTGCTGTGCAGCCCTGAGCCTGGAGGGGAAGGGGAGGGGCAGTTTTTAGAATCCAGAAAGGGAGACCTGCCTGACCCGAGTTGTGGTCTTATTTTTATTTTTTTTCCTTCTCCCCAAAGCCCCCCAATACGTAGTTGTATATTTTAGTTGTGGGTCCTTCTGTTTGTGGCATGTGGGATGCCGCCTCAGCATGGCCGGACAAGCGGCGCCACATCCACGCCCAGGATCCGAACCTGCGAACCCATGGGCCACCAAAGCGGAGTGGGAACTTAACCACTCGGCCACGGGGCCACCCCCGAGCTTTGGTCTTTAGTGGGGACACAGTCAGCCTGTGGCAACATCCCAGTAAGGAAGCTGGGGGGAAAAACAAACCCTGACCTGGCTCTTCTTCCTCCCTCTGAAACCCTGCCCTGGCTCTCCAAGTGCCAACCCCAACAGGAAGACAGAGATCAAGGAAGCCCATTGATGTATTCTACGTAGTCAGTCCTCTCACTAATCAGAGCTGGAAGGGGCCACTACTTGCCGATAACCTCTACGTAAAAAACCACAGAATTGAAATGCAATTGTTCTAATTTGCCTTGGGTAGGTCAAGTCTCCATCTCTGCACCAATCACTGTAGCAGAAGGTGATAGGGCGCTCTGACTGGCTAAGAAAGAAGCTGAGGGCAGAGTCGGCTCTGATTCAACGTCTCAGCTAAGACCCGGAAAGCAAATCTCCTAGGAAAATCACTGTGTTGTTAACTGACCAGATAAAAAGAACAGATGTCCCCTACTGCCCATAACGGGGCTCGTCGAGGACTTTTGAGTGGGGGTTTGCTGTTTCTGCTGGACGCATTGGAGGGAAGAGACCAGAGTGCACTGGTGAATGGGTCAGCCCAGCCATAAGGGATGGAGCTGCCTCTCTCCAGGCCTCAGTTTCCTAGCAGGGACGAATCTTAACCTTCTGAGGCTATAGCGCTCACCAGCAAGTTGTTAACAAACAAGTCCAGCCTTCTCATCAAGAGCGCAGACCCCGCGTCGCCAGTAAAGACCACCCAGCCTTGTTTTCTGAAATCTTTCCTTACAGTTCGACCTAGACGAGACCTCTCTGGACCCACTGAAGTTTGCTGGAAGGTGCCACCTAGTGGAACATCAGATGACCTGCCGCTTAGACAAAAAGAAACCTCAGGAAGGTTTTACAACGGAAAGCCGTCCAGCAGTGGTTCCCTCAAACTTGGCTGCAGCCACCCGGGGATGGTGGAGTCCCTACCCTCCGAGGTTCTGACTTAATTGGTCTTGGGGTGTGGGGTGCGCATCCATTTTTTTGTTTGTTTTAAAGATTGGCACCTGAGTTAACATCTGTTGCCAATCTTCTTTCTTTCTTTCTTTTTCCTTCTTCTTCTCCCCAAAGCCCCCCAGTACACAGTTGTATATTCTAGTTGTGAGTGCCCCTGGCTGTGCTATGTGGGATGCTGCCTCAGCATGGCTTGATGAGCATTTCCATGTCCCCGCCCAGGATCTGAACCGGAGAAATCCCGGGCCACCGAAGGGGAGCTCGGGAACTGAACCACTAGGCCACCAGCCAGCCTGCATCCAGAGTTTTAAAAGGTACCTGAGGCATTCTATGTGCAGCTAAGGGTGAGACCACTGGGTATAGACTATCCAACGCTTGATTTTTACAGAGGTGCCCACAGACAGGAGCCACTTCTTAAGAGTCTGACTCCTAGGAAGCTCCCCTTTCCTCTGCACCCCACCACTTCTCTATTTGTGTTTTTGTACAACTTTTTTCCTTTGCGCAAAAATGAAAAGTAATTAAACAGGAAGCACGCTCTTTTCCCAAGCCCTGATATTTATCTTAGTGGCAGTCCTGGGAGGAAGATTGCTCCCTATGCACCTGATATTTGCATCTGACCGTTCTGACTAATACTCTGTTTGATGCGCCCACCCAATGACGCAGAGTATTTACGCTTGGAGATTTATGGCCTTCTCCGTCTGCTCTTTCAAAACATACTGTACTTGGGGCACCTTCCACAGCCACTGTCTTGATTCAATAGCATTCCTTTATAGGTGGCAGGATTGGTTTAATTGGCATCTCATTGTGGAAATGACAAAGTAGACTCTAAGAGAGAGATAGGCAATCTTCTGTTTAGAGGTCATTTCACAGAGGCATCCTGCAAATCTTTTCTTTTTGTTCAGACTAGGAGCTGAAATGCCACTAAATGCGCACACTGGCCTAAACCACCTGAGTGGTGTTCCGTGTCTGGCTCCCTTTCTCCCATCCTACCCTGCAAGATTGGGTCCGGTTCCAGAATTTTGGAATTAAAAAAGACCTCAAAGAGCATCTGGTTCAACTGCTTTATTTAACGCAACCATAATCTATGTTTACCTAGACATCTCTAATTCCTGCTACCACATGCACTCATGGACTCATACATCATAAACCTGATGAGAATTTGAGCAACCTGCCTGAAGCCACAGAGGAAATTAAGGGCAAAGTCTGCACTGATCCAGGCTGATTAGAGCCAGTTGGGGAAATTTCAGCTCCAGGACTTTTGTTCTCTTCCTCTATAGTAGAAGTCTGAGCCTTGTTAAATGGCCAACCTGGTAGAGATAGCAATTTGGGTCGTTGACGCCAGTGTTAATGAGTTTCCTGAGTGCAGGTTTTAAAGAGGTGAGTGCTTGATTGATTGATTCATTCATTCATTCATTCATTTCCCAAATGTTTGTTGAGGACCTGTTTTGGGCCAGGCACTGTATTAGGCATTGAGGATATGCTGGAGAAAACAAACAAACAAACAGACAGACAAAACCCAATGGTCTCTGTCCTTATGAGGCTTATGGTCCATTGGAGGAGACAGATATCAAAGAATCACCCAGTAACTGTAAACATGGTGACTGGCAAGGAAAGGCACTGCTAAGGTGTCACATAACTGGGGAGCTTAGGCTGTTCAGGTAGGTCAGGCAGGCTTTGCTGAAAATGTATGATGATCTTGACGATCTCCAAGGAGAGGAGGAGCAAGAAGGCTTCAGGCTTGTAGCAGACACAGAAGTCCAACACCCGTAGCTTCTTGGTTTTCGCTTAGGGTCGAGCAGACCTCACCAGCCTGGAAATTATATCATTACAGAGTCATGATTATCCCCATTTCACAGATGAGGACATTGAGACTCAAAGCAGCTAAGGGACTTGGCAAGGTTAAAGACTGTTGGAGGTACACTGACACGCAGACCAACACCTCCTGACTTGCTGATAGGTTCTGCTTTGACACCCCCTCAGCTCAGGGCTAGGCCAGACCAGCCCGAGGGTATATCCCTTAACAAATGGGCCCAGCAACAAAAGACCTTTAGAAAGCCGGGGTCAGGACACCTAATAGGAAAGGTTTTCACACCCTCATCAGGAAGGCTGAAGGCCTGCACGTGTCGCCTCTCTTCTAGTTGACTCTTCTCGCTGAAGTATGTCTCAGGGGACCCTGAAAGATCTGCCTATTACTGATGACAAGATGGAAAACTGAAGCGTGAGCAAGAGAATTGACAGCTCATTTGAAAAAAAGAAGAAGAAAAGGAAGTAAAGATGGGAAGATGGGGGAAGAGAGGAGATGCTCACCAATCATCAGATATGTGTATTGAACCCTTTCTGCGTGCCAGGCATGTCTGTTGCCAGATGTGGGGGCATAGCAGGGAATGAGCAGACGAGGCCCCTGCCCCATGCAGCTGACATTCTATTTGGAGGAGCTCAATAATAAACAAGTAAATAAACAAATAAATAAGATCATGGCCAAGAGGGATACACACTATGAAGAAAACAGAGCAGGATGTAAAGTACTGGAGAGAACACTTCAGGCGGGCAGTCAAGGAGGGTCTCTGTGAGCAGGTGACATTTAAACTAAGATCTGGAGAATGAGAGGAAGCAACAACGGGGCAAGACCAAGGGAAACATCGTTCCTGGCAGAGACAAGGGCTGATTGAAAGGCCTTGGAGCTGGAACCAGCATAGTGTGTTCAAGGACCAGGAAGGAGGTAGATGTGGCTGGTTTGGAGTGAGTGACAAAGAGAGTGAGAGATGAAATTGGGGAGGCCCACGCCAGAGCTGAAGGGTCTTGCTATGCAGCAAAAATCCTCTTCTTATTGGTGTTGGACATTTATTTCACCTACAAGTACTAGTTACTTTAGGCCAGCATCTGTGGTAAGCCCTTCATATACATTGTCTCATTTAATGCCCACAATAGGCCTAGGACGGCTCAGTCTGAAGGTAACATTTCTTGTTCCATTTCAGTGGATGACCAGATCTTCTCCCAAGCAAACAGCCAGAGCTAAGGTGCTGCCCACATGTCTCAAATAGCATAGTCTCAGTGAATGGGATAAAGCCCCCAAAGGATGCCCCCATCCCATGGCTAGTGCATCCCACATTGTAGAGGAGGTGATCAAAGAGTCCTGGGATTAGAGCTGGGTTCGTGAGGCAGAGTTTCCACCAAGGGCTGACCAGGCTGCTGTGCAGCTTTGATCAAGTCACTCAGCTAAGACACAAGAGAAAGCTCACCTCCAATTTTGTGCAGAATCCTCTAGGCAGCTGGAAAAGAGTGGGGAGGAGAAAGACACTGAAGATTTCCACATACATGACCTCAGCTGCTATGCTTCACTCAGCTTGGAATTATTGAGCACCTACTGTGTTCCCAGCCTGGGAGGGACCGCGGCTTATCTTCCTGTGGTTGAGCAGGAGTATGGGTTGAAATCCACGGGCCCTGGTTCCGCTAGCTCTGCTTTGGCCCAGGGAGAGGAGGGCACCCTTTTTTGCACAGTCTTCCACCCAGAAGGAACACCGGTTTTCTGATTCACCAAAGGGAGAAGTATGTGCTAGCAGAGGCAGAGTATACTGTGGAGGACAAAAAAATACAAAGTTCCTCCTTGCTTGGAGCTCACATTCGAAAATGATACCTGTTCTGCAGAAAAATCAAGCAAATAGAGATAATGGGGGTGCTCTTTGAAATTTCAGATCAGCTGGTCAGAGAAGGTCTTTCTAAGAGACATTTGATTTGGTTCCTGAGAGATGGGAGAGAGAGACCCAAGCAGAGGTTTACAGAAAGACATTTATAGAATGGTACAGCAAATTTGCAAAGGCCCTGAGGCCGTCATTAACTTGGTGCATTTGAGGAATACAGTTATATGCCACGTAACAACTTTTCAGTCAAAGATGGACCACATATACAATGGTGGTCCCCTAAGATTGTACCATACAGCCTAGGTGTGTATTAGGCTATACCATCTAGGTTTGTGTAAGTACACGCTATGATGTTCACACAACGACGAAATTGCCTAACGACCCATTTCTCAGAATGTATCCCCATCACTAAGCGATACATGACTGCATATCAAGAAGACCAGTGTAACTAGAAGGGAAGGAGGGAGGGCAATATCTAGAAGGTGGGTCAGATCATGTAGGGCCTCAGAGGCTGTGGTAAGGATACTCATGGATTATTCCAACATGAAGGGAAGTCACGGGCCCCTTCCCAGGAGCAGAGTGAGCTTCATGTTTATAAGAGCATCACTCCAGCCACTCTGTTTCCAGCATTCATGATTGGTGCTGTGGAGACACATAAAAGAATTTCGCAATGTTATCTTTCCCTCTAGGAACTTCCACTCTTGTCAAAGAGACAGGATGACAATTCAATTACCAAAATAACTGTGTATCAACTGCAGTATAAAAAACATAGGGCTATTATTCATAGCAGCATTATTCATAACAGCCAAAAGGTGGAAATAATCCAAATGTCCATGGATGGATGAACAGATAAACAAAATGTGGTATACACATAAAATGGAATAGTATTCAATCTTAAAACGGGATGAAATTCTGATACATGCTACAACACAGAAGAACCTCGAAAACAGTCTGCTAAGTGAATTAAGCCAAACACAAAATGACAAATATTGTATGATTCCACTTGCATGAAGTACCCAGAAGAGCCAAATTCATAGGGACAGAAAGTAGATTGGCGGTTGCGGGGGGCTGAGAAGCGGGGGGATGAGGAGTTAATGTTTAATGGGTATGGAGTTTCAGTTTGGGACAATGAAAAAGTTCTGGAGATGGACAGTGGTGATGGTTGACAACAATGTGAATATACTAATGCCACTGAATGGTTAAAATGGTAAACTTTATCTTATGTATATTTTACCACAATAAAAAATATTTTTAAAAAGGCATAGGGCCAGGATCTAGAGATAGAAGAGTGGGAATTCTAGGCAGAGGTAACAGCAAGTGCAAAGGCCAGGAGGCAGGAATGTGCCTGGTGTGCTCTGAGGAACAGCAAGGCCAATGGGCTGGAGCCCAATGAAGAGAGTAAAGGGTGAGGGCTATTCCTACATGGCCTTGTAGGATCTTGTAGTTCCTTATAGGAATCCAGTGGGAGGTGGGAAGCCACTGGAGGGATGTGAACAGTGGGGTGATACTATCTGACCTTTGTTAAAACAGGATCATCCTGGCTGTGGCTTTCTTTAATCTGAGTCTCATTTGCAAAGGAGGAAGAGAAAATCACCTACCCCACAGGTAACTTTGAGCATTAAAAGAGGTAGTGCACGTGAAGGGTTTCACATGGTGACTGGCATAGAGTAAGCATTCAATAAAAGGTAAGCATTACTGGGACAGAAATCCACATAAAGATAGCAGCTCCTTGTGGAGGAGTTTTGGAGGACTTCATGGAGGAGGTGGCAGTTCAACTAGACCTCGAAGGATCAACAAGATTTCCACGGCCACAGAGGGGAAGGGGAGGGGGCTTTCTGGGTGGAAGGAACTACGTAGTCTACAGCACATGAAGGAAAACAGCCGGCAACCAGGCAGGGCAGAGAGGAGGAGAGAATGTTTGATCAGCCCCAGGAGGTTACAGCGAGAAATGTGGACCCTATAGCCGAGGTGATGGGAGCTTTGAAGGTTTTGCAGCAAATCTCAAGATCCCAGCTGTGATTTCAGAAAATTGAATCCCCACCGCTGGAAGAACTGGGAGGCAGGAGTCATGGGGACGAGGGCTGAGCTAGAGAAGCAGAGAGTCAAGAGGACGCATGCGAGGGTGGCAAAGAGGAAGGCAACGAAGGGGGCACTTCATCCCTTGGCATCAGAGACGAAGCAATTAAGTGAAGAGCATTGAGGAGCCACAGGCATCACCATGGGAGTCGGGCTCGGCGGCCCTCCGCAGCGCCCAGGCGGCCCGACTTCTCAGAGCCCTCACCACGGTTATAGACACATGCCCTGGTCTCATGCGATTACGTGTTTAATGTTTCAGCTCCCAGACAAAGGGTCTGTTTTCATTTCACCCTGGTGCCTGGCACAGTGTCTGCACACAGTAGGCGTTCGCTGATGGTTTGCTGAGTGGCTGAACGGGAGATAGAAACCCACAAGAGGTTTAGAGAAAGGGCTCCGTGAGCTGAATGCCTAGAAGTCCACGTGGGACTGGAAGGCATTCCAACTCCAGGGAGGCTTGGACTTGCGTGAGAAAAGGTCCTGCGGAGAGGCTCCGGTCACCTCCCCGCCGGTTTGCAGGGACAACAGATGGGTGGCGGGCAGGCACGGCACTCCACAGTTTACAGAGGGCGTTCACCCCTAACGCCAGGAACACCGAGAGGAAGAAAACTAGGGCCGGGCTGTACCACAGTGCACGTGGAGCACGCCTGTGGCCCCATTTCATGCCGGGGAATATTGAGTCCCCGGCGTCAAAGCAGGTCCGCAGGTCCTTGCGGCCGAGCCTGGGCGGGTGAGAAGCGACAGTCTCGGGGGCTGCAGGCGGGGCGCGTCCGGCCGGGCTCTATTTGCATATCCCCGGGGAGTTGGCAAACTCTCGGCTGGAGTCCGGAGCAGAGGCTGCCAGGCGGGGCTTTGGGGTCCCCGGGCGCGTTCCAGCACGCGAAGGGACACCGGTGCCCAGCCCGCACCAGTTAGCGCCCAACTCGCTAACTCCGGGACTTTCGCAAAGCTCCCGCGGGCGGGGGAGCCGCCGAGGAGAGGACCGCACCATCGCTGCCCAAGAGGGGGGAGCGGGTGGCCCCGCGACACCGTCGCGCCAGGGAGGACGAGGAAGAGCAGCGAGAGCCCGGGTCCCGCGGCCCACCGCGCTCGGCAGCCGCCCCGGGGGAAGGTGGCGTGCGGCGCGCGGCTCGGCCGGGCGCTGGGTCGGCGGTGGCGGCCGCGACCCCCCCGCGGCGGCGGCGCAGTGGCGGAGCCCGGCTCCCCGGCGGGCGAGCGGCGGAAGTGCCGCGGAGTTGGAGCGGGGCCGGCGCCGCGGCCGCTTCTCCTCGCCTAGCTGCTGCCGCCGCCGGGCGGACGGGCGGACGCGCGGAGCTGGGGGTGGCGCGGCGGGGCCGGCGGGGCGCGGCGGGGCTGACCGGCCCCGATGAGGCGGAAGGAGAAGCGGCTTCTGCAGGCGGTGGCGCTGGTGTTGGCGGCCCTGGTCCTTCTGCCCAACGTGGGACTCTGGGCGCTGTACCGCGAGCGGCAGCCCGACGGCACCCCCGGGGGATCAGGGGCGGCGGTGGCCCCGGCGGCCGGCCAGGTGAGTCCCCCAGTTGGATGAGGTGGGGAACACTCTCCCCGAATTCGCTTCCAGCCTACAGTTCCTTCCTCCACCTTCCCCTGTCTGCCTTCTCATAGTCAGCGCGGAGACTCCTCTGTTCTTCCCATTTTTTGGATGGGAAAATTGAGGCTCAGAGAAGGACAGGGACTTGTCCAGGGCTTCACGCCAGTCAGAGACAGAACCAGAACTAGAAACCAGGAGTCCTCTCCTTCCTACCGTAGGTTACCATTCTCCCTTCTGTCCATGTCTGGTATCGCTTGACCTCTTCCAGCATCTCCTCTTTTGGAACATCCTGTCTGCATCCCTGTGTCCCAGGTTGACTCCTTTTCCTGGAGGTGACTGGTTTTCTTATTTGGTGTCTAGGTCTTTCAGCTTTTTCCTCCACCTGCTGATCTCTGTGTTCCCTGCCCAGGTCTCCCCTTTCCTATTTGCCCATCTACCCAACGAGACACCTGGGCCTCCCTTCTCTCCCCGTTAGTTCTCCCTCCTTCCCAGCCTTATTTCTTCACAGATCCTGTGGGTTCCTTGGAGGATGCAAAGATCATGCTCCCCTTGGAGCTTCAGGCCCTGGGGGTGGGTAAGGGGGTGAACTCCTGGTCCTTGAGGAGCCTGCTATCTTTGACCTTCTGGGAGTTCAAAAGTGGGGCTCTCGTGGAGGGACCCCCATCAGAGGCTATTTGTGCCCAGTGCCCTGAGGATAGAACATCAGATGCCTTCCCTGACCCTTCTCAGAGTACCCATGACCTCTCTGAACTTGTTAAGCCTGATTAGGTGTGGTGTTTCTTGCAGCCAAGACTGGGATCTTAATTGTTTCTGCCTCCTCTGGACTGACTCATGTATGTTGGAGGGGGAGGGGAGAAGTCACACATACGTATAGACTGATAGCAGAAGCTCTGTCAGATCACTCCTACCCTCCCAGCTCTTGGCTCCGTAGGTGCCAGTGAGTGTGTACCCACTTGAACTGTTTCACACAGTGGGACGTTTCAGGTTTTCTTATGGGATTTCCTTGGTCCCCCGGGAAGCGGATAGTTTGCGCATCAGGGTCAAACTTGATTAATTGTTGGCAGGACAAGGGAAGAGGCTGACTTTGAAGGTGGATGATTTTCCTTTCTCTTCTCAGTATCAGGCTGCTGCCTGGGCGGTCTGGCATCTTGAGCACAGAGGGTTCTTTGCCACAGGGCTGGCCAATTTGAGTGCAGCCTCTCACTCTATAATTGTTGCAAACCATCCTGGAGAGAAGGTTGATCTTTCTGGTAGATCTTACTGTTTGGAAACTAAGAGCCCCATCTCCTTTCCGAAACCTCTGGTTCAAACCTCGACAGCTAAGTTAGACCCCTCTCCCATAAATTCTGTATCCCTCTGGGTTTTACCTTCATGAAATCTCATTCTTCTGTTCCCACCCTGTACCTGCATCAGGGTCAGGGGGTCAGGGTTCTATCCTCAGCTCTACCATTAATTTGCTGTGTGTGTCCTTGATCACCTCCTATTTCCCTCTCTGAGCCTCCCTTTCTCCATCTGTAAAATGTGGTTATTGGTCCAGCTCCAGCCTTCTGTGATACCGTCAATGAATCAGTGAGGAGTACAATGGCTACTTCGTTTTTCTTTCCTGAGTCAGAAGCCCCTTGTAGCATCCCCAGATGTGTGGGCTCCATACTGGACCCAGCCCCAGGTCAAGGGAAGAGCATCCTGCCCAAGTGCAAACCCTCCCTTGGAATCGCTGTAGCCAGTTCTAAAATAGCTCCTGACATTCCGCCTCTGCCTGGAGAAAGCCCTCGTATTTCATTTGCTGTGGATGCCGGAGACGTCCTGATTTTCATTTTCTGTAGACCCAGATGTGTAGAGAGAAGGTCAAGGTTAACTGCCAGTTTGGCCTGAGCTTTCAAGGTAAATTACTCACTTGTGCAAGAGGGAATTGATGGAGTAAGGCAGCCTTTTGGGCAGAGAGAGGGGAGCAACAGCTGGACGCTGCTCAGAGCCCTTAACTAAAATGGGCAGATAGGCGCATCTGGGAAGGTCTAGTTCTTGTTCATTTCTGTTTCTCTGGAATATCATGAAGAGGAAGAGGAAGAAGTGGTAAAGGGGTTTGATGATGAGGGTGGAAGATGCCAGCTGATTATCCTTGCTTTAAAGAAAATCTCTTTGCTTCCTGGGAGCAGCAGAATGGAGCCGTTTCCCCAATGATAAGCTCTTCTAGGTACTGGAGGATTCAGCATTCATCTGCTGCCTTTCAGGAACACTCTGCCAAATTTCCACACAGCCCCTTTTTGTTTCAGTCTCCTGCAGATGCACAGCACTGGGCTTGGCCCCCCGTCCCTTGTTTGCATGTCAGCTGGCCTTGAGGGGAGAGGCTGACTTCTGAGAGCGATGGTGTTCCGTTCCTCATCCCGGTGTACTGGAATGTGCAGGTCACATGTCAGGCTGCTATCTGGGAAATCTGGCATCTTGAGCACCCAGAGCTTCTTCGACAGGGCTGACCAGTTCTGAGCTCAGCTTGTCACTCTCGTAATTGTTCAGAATTATCCCAGAGCACCTCGTTGATCTTTCTTGTAGAAATAACTGCAGAGGCTCTGGAGGGAAGTCTGACAGGACTTTATCCTAATGAAAAATATACTTCTTGTGGGTTTGAGAGAACTTTCTTTGAGGGTAACATATCCGCTATTTGAGCCGTCCTTTAACTCCTTGATTTCTCCACTGGGTTGAAGGGTTTCAAATTAAGAGCGTTTATCATCTGCCAGAACATAAGTAACTGTCATGCTAGCTCATCCTGGGTGTACCTCTGGAGCTGAGTTGGGCAGCTGATTTATAAAGGACATATAATGCTTCTAGGATTTCAGCATTCATCTGATCAGACAGCTGGCTTCCTGGAAAGCTGCAAAACCAAGCAAGAAAAACCAGTCTTGAAGCCATCTTCATTTTAATTTGGGGGTCCCTCTCATTCCTAGCCCCAGTCTGCTTAACATCTTGATTTAATTCTACAGTCTGTTTCTTATTCCAGGCTTGGACACTGGCTATTAAAAATCCATGTTAGGAAATGCAAAGCAGTCCTTCCCCGTTTCTGAGCCATAATCTCTTGTGAGAAATGACTTCATTGGATAATAGTGACTCTGGAATAGAAATTGGTGGGGTAATGGAATACCAGTGACTTTAATTTTCAAGTATCAAGAGTTTTTCTCATTGTATCAGAGCTGAACTTTATTCTTAGAACATCCAGAAATCAATACTTTTTTCCTCCTTTTTTCAGTCTTTCTGGTGGCAGAGCCTTTCTGATCAGAAAGTTAAGTACCATAGAAATATAGCCTTGGCATGATTTCTTTAATTTTCCACAGAGGGGCTGGGATCCTTTAGATTGTTAATCACTTCTCTGTCTGCATGCCCAGCTGAAATCTGATGCCACTAGGAAGGGTTGTTGATTTACCTGAGCAAACCTGGCTTCCTGCATTCTTTCTCTCATCCCGGGCTTGCCATCCCCCAAGGCGCTCAGCCGAGGAAGGCCTCAGAACAGATGCCTGGGTTCTAATTCTCTCTCTTAGCCTAAACTCACTGTGTGACCTCGGAAAAGTGGTTTAACCTCTTTGGGCCTTGGATTCCTCATCTGTGAAGTGAGGGCTTAGATGCAGAAGGGGAAAGGTAAATGTGTAACTTGGTGCTTCCCCTCCCCTGGCCAGGGCAGACATTGCTAGTCAGTCTCTTTACCACTAAGCCCCCTATTTGGCCTCAGACTGTTTCTCAACACTGCTGCTCAGTGGAGTTAATGACGTGTTAAAACTCATTTGCAATGTAAGAAATAGATACTTTGCCGGGACTTTTGCAACTCTAACATGCTGGGTTTGGTGAGTTTGTTTGGAAGCATGTATTGGGAAGGCCTGGATAGTAGAAGTGTTTAAACAGATCTCTAACTTGTGATGAGGCCACCACTTAGGGATATGTTCATACTCTAAATGCCTTTTCTCAGGCTGTGGTCTAAGGATGTTCAACCTTTAATCTGTTGGCTCCAAGACACGATAACAAATAATGGAATCTGGGATGAAAAAGCAAAGGCCCATTTAAAAGATAACCATCTAGCTTGCTAATTGTACCTTGTCCACAGCCATCTCTTACACAGGGATGGCCGCGGGATATTATCACTGAAAAGCACCCTGAGACAAACTTGGCAGCCAGAAGTATGTCCCGTGACGGCTCAACACTCATGATGGTGTTTGCAGTGGGTTCGGTGTTTTGCATATGTCTGACCCTCTTATCCCACATATGTGTCACAGCCAGTAAGGGAAGAGCTGATGGGTGAGGCACTGCCCCCAGGAAGACTTAAGTAAGAGTCTTGTTTCTCGGCGAACCACTGTCCTCAACACGCAGTGGAGTGGGAAAGGAGGTAGCCTGTATGGGCCTGAGTTCCTCTGGCCAAGGAGTGCGTTGTGGGAGCCGCGTCCCCTCCCAGCACGTGTCGTGAGGCTCGGCCCTGGGGAGACAGTCGGAACGTTTCTGCCAGGTGATCAATCTGCGTCAGAGCAGGAAAGGGGCTTCTGAAGTCATCCAATCCAACTGCCTCATTTTGTAGGTGCAGAAACTGAGGCCCGGGAGAGGGGAGAGCAGTTCTCAGAGGGAGGAGTGCAGACCAGAACCAAGTTGTTCTCCAAGTTCTTGCTCTGTTTCACTATATTTTTTCCCTGCACATCCTCATAATTTGATCCTTCTTTACCATTGCTCCCCTTATGAGCAGAGATTGTCACTCCCAGTTTGGAGGCCAGTACTTACTGAGATGACAGTTATCTGCTGAAACTTACCTGGCTTTTTTGCAGATCCATTTTTGTAAATTTTCTTCCCAAATTTTTATAGTTTTAGAGCAAGTAAAATGGATTAATTTTTAAGGTGGCGGAGGGATCCATCAGAGGAATAGAGGTGTTAAAAGGATGCATAGCCCGTGGCACCAGTACTGCTATCCGTGGGAGGTGGAGCTAATCTGAGTTTAAGAGCCACCTCAGATT